CTACTATATATCACAAATAACACAAGTTACACAGCTATAGCACAAAGACTACTATATATCACAAATAACACAAGTTACACAGCTATAGCACAAAGACTATAACTCCTATATTACTTAATACACCTAAATCTAAAGCACCGGTGGTGGTATCATGCTTGTCAACTTTTTCAAATTTCCATAGGGGGAGATTGTGCATTCTCAGAATTAAAAGCATAAATATAATGTATGTATGTACACTCTAGGGGGAAATGACCTTTTTTAAATGGCATCTTTTGAGCTGTTCTTTCAGATGAAATCATCAGATAGGAATAATTGAGCAAATTCACTGCTTGAAAATGCTCAATTTTAGGGTCCAAAATCATTAGTTTCCCTCCCAAATAGGGAGAGTTGGCAAGTATGTTGTATATAAAATTTATACAAAGTCTAACATTTCGGAATTTTAAGGTTCATTTAAAGACAGATTTCCTCCATTTTTCAACAATATTTCACTATTTTAAAGAATGTTTATAAAGCATTTCAATTATTTTTAACTGTCAAAGAAGTTCTGAACTTTTGATAGGTAACATGACTCAAGTCATTGACTTGCCTCCAATGAAATACAATTCATGACATATTAGTGCCAAAGTTATAAAAAACCAGTTTGATTTGTATTTAGTGAGGGCCCAGCTAATCTTAAATGTTTCAACTAAAATCTCTATACAATATCACAAGATAAGTTTATTCACATTTGACAGGTTGCCTCCCTTGCCTGTTTACTTGCCTCTCTGAACTGTTTGTTCACATTTAACAGGTTGCCTCCCTTGCCTATTTACTTGCCTCTCTGAACTGTTTGTTCACCCTGGACATGTGACTGACATCTTCAAGCTGCAGGTTGAGGATGATTTTTGTGAGCACTTTTTTTGGGAGCCGGGGCAGGTAATCCAATTCTCCTTCAGCAATTTTGGTCAGATAGTCCAACATATTGGTTCCTGCAAGTCTTTGTACCTCACCTGTTAATTATACAAAACACATAGTGTTTATGCTTTATTGAAACCAAAATACATGATCAGGGGTCAACACTAACACTAGTCCGCTAGTCCTGGAATAGAAGATTCAGCAAGGACTAGTGAATCACCTAACCTAACTGGTCCTTTGGACTTGTGAAAAATATGATTATAAATTAAGAATATTTTTTTAATATTTAGAATTTAGAAAAACTGCTTAAAATCAGATATATTGCATGATAATTGGCCGAAGTTTCCTTAAACTTCACCATATGTTTATGGCAGTAGCTATTTTAAGTCCCCTACAGTCGACCACTTTTGACGTTTCATGCTGTAGGTTGCGATGTTTCCATATCAGGAAATCTTAGACTAGTTACACTGACTAAGGACTAGTAAATAATCTTTTCATCTAGTCATGTGGACTACCAAGCAAAAAAGTAAAGCGTGTCTAACCCTGATGATAGGATTAATTTGTTAGGATGAGATTCTAACCATGAGAAAAATACAAGTGGCCAATATGGTCAAAGCCTGGTTAGTTTAACCATATGCATTGATACTGATATTTGAGTCAGAACTCAAGGACATAAGCTCAGCAGTAATTTGTTATCACAAACTTATAACTCAGCTCAACATATCAAGCTGAGCCCAAAAAACTGAGACTGCTCAAGAGCAGACTTGAGTTCGAACTCAAGTTCTTGAATGCTCAGTGTTTGCAATAAAAATGGCCGGTGGTTTTGAAGTTAGGTGACGGAGGGTTTGGATGTTTACATGGGTAGAACTCAGCTGAGCTTGAGTTTAACTACTCAAGCTCAAGTGCTGTCGGCTTTGTGATACCCATTTGGCGGTAAATCTCAGCTGAGTTCGAACTTGAGATTTGAGAAAATGTTTGTGATACCAAAGCCAGATCTGTTATCTATCATCGGGGAACTATTTTCTGGGTGACACAACGTTTAAATACACAGTTAACTTTCATTTTAAGGAAGTCAGCAAACTATGCAGGTCAGAAGTTCTAGCTGATTAATCAGTGGAAACTCATTTCAAATGAAACACAACGTTATAAAGTTCAAGCGATTGGAACCAGTGTCATCTTTGACAGTGAAAGCGATTAAGTATAACTTACATGGGTGGTTTTGATAATTGATCATCAGGATAAAGCTGTAACACAACAACTCTGCACTTTTCCCACTCCCCAACATTTTAGATTCGGTGCTGATCAACAATGGGTAGTGATACGAGTTGATATATGACAGGGCTTTTATTACATTGTGATAGTAGTTTAATTTAAAAAGGAATTTAATGATGAGTTGTTTTTTTTACATCTGATCAAAATATTTGCAGCGAGGACTTTATTTTGTGGCATAGGGTTGTCTAGACATGCTTAAGTGGTACAAGGATCCAGATCAAGTATTGTCAGCTTGATGTGTCGCTTTGTGTTCAAGGTAAAGTGTTCATTAAAAAAAATGTGATTAACAGAATTTCTTTCATTGTCTTAAAACCAAATATATTTCACTTGTGTGTCTGTCACTTGTGCTGCGGTATCCTCTGTATTTAATGTGAATATATGTATTTCGGGTATACCGGTAGTTTCCATGATAAATGGAAATTTCTTTAAAGTCAAAAACTTTAAAATATGTCAAAAGAAACTGCTCTGTAAACCTCAATACTCACTTATACACTCAAAAGCGTAAACCCTGAGTATTGAGGATGTCGTCTGTGCTGTGTTTGACATTGTATGTGGGAAGTTTGATTAAGATCTGTGGAGGATTTTAAGAAAAGCTCTGAAAATGCAACAAGAGGCCTAGGGGCTTTGACGGTCACCTAAGTGAGGTTGACAAATGATATACAAACAAAAAAAAAGAAATAATAACTCAATTTGAATATTGATTAAAATCCATCCATTTGAACATTTTTGATGATTTTGCACTCAGTGACCCTTTATAGACCATCCCCACAGCCCCCTGGAGAATCAGCCCTGATAATGTTCCTCATGGCAGGTTCATGATTTAGGAAATATGACGAATAGTTGCTGAGAAATCAAAAATATGATTGTTTATGGCTTTGAACTAAGTGATCCCATATATATATAGCCCCAACCCTTATAATTAGCCACTTAGGGTGTCAACCCCTTCTTTAGTATAAGTTTTGATCCTCATCATCTAAGGATCATTTGATGAAACATTGGTCAAAATCCAAAGGAGATGTTTTTTGAAGATCTTGCACTAAATGACCCTTTATAGCCCAGCCCCTCAGTCCCCTGGGGACTGTCAGCTCTATCTTGAGTATAAATTCTGATCCTTACACAAGGCACGCAGATGATCACTACCAGGTTTCACCAAAATCTGACTAATGGTTTCTGAGGAGAAGTCGAAACTGTAATTGTTATGCAGGATGGGTGAAAGGTGATTGCAAGTTCACCAAAAAGTAGACGGAGCTACCTGGGTCCCCAAAAATGCTCCAAATGGGTTATAATCGTTTTGGATAATGTTTCCATGCGACTAAAAGTTTCTTGGAATCAGAAAGTTAACAAGAGATCCCAAAGGGATCTTGGCGCCCACCTTTGTACCATCTTCATTAGTTCTTTGTCAGTTCGAACTTTTCTCTTCTTTCCTCTAATCTGTTTGATCGAGTCATGTTAACAGTAAATGCACCTTGAGGTAACTTTTTATCTAAACTTAATACTGATGTGTATGAAAGCCAACCTTCAAAGTGAGTTTGTCATTTCACATATTTACTAGTACAGTACTTAATGTGAAAGAAATAGAATCGATCATTGCAATATGAGAAAGATCTGTTTAGTTCTTCTTTTAATCCATTTTGTTTTTATGATCAGTCTCAAAATATAACATACACAACGAGGGATCAAGGGGAACCTACATTTAAAATTTGAGAAAGATCCCT